TTCAAAGTCATCATATGTAGCGAAATTTTTTTGATAACTATCAAACGAATAGAAGGCTTCATCCAAATTATATTTGCTAAGTGCTCTATGTTTATTGCATGCTGTCATCATAAATTCATGCCAATTAATAAATCCATCTCCATCTAAATCACATCTATTAAAAATCATTTGATAATCAATTCTTTTTCTCTATTCATCAAGCTGGGAAGCCAGTTAAATTTAGTCATCAGGTAAAAATGCTCCTTTGTCATCAGCGAATGGATCTCTATAGTAGTTTTTGAAGGCAAACTTAAAATCGTCAAATGATAACAAACCATCAAAGTCTTGATCTAAGCACAAAAATGAATGCTCTAGGTGCTAATACTCATCTCTGTTTATCCGATGAACTATCATTGATAAAACAGCTTCTTGCAATTTGTTTGAGATCTTGCAATCAATCATATTTCCCAAATGCTCATTCAATACTTTTGAGTCTGGGAAAAATGGGGCTTAAGTTATAATCCAAGGATGCCTTAGAGCATCTCTTGCAGAAATTCTAGTCTAAGGATTATATCTCAGCATTTGCTTTATCATGTCTTTACCTTCTTCAGAAATTATGCGCCATGCAGGGGAATCAAATTTAAATGTTCCATCTCTAATTGCCAGCATAATGTCCTAATCAGTACTTGCATCAAATGGAAGATTATTACTTAATAATTCAAACATAACAACACCTAGTGCCCAAATATCTGCTTTTTCATCATACTATTCATCAATAAGTTCAGGCGACATATAAGATAGTTAGCCAATAATTTTTGTTAGCGGCAATTTTTCTCTTTATAAATCTGCAGCACTTCCAAAATCAATAAGCTTAGGGAATTTCGAGTTTGCATGTTTGAACATTATGTTTCCTGGTTTAATATTTCTATGAATAATACCTCTTTTGTGAAGATATGCTAGAGCTATCAACACACCTTTAATTACATGAGCTGCATCTTCCTCATTATAAGAAGGCCTGTTTGACAATGCCTATGATATATCACCTCCCATACAGAT